TGACTCACATCTCACTAACTTCATTAACTCTCAATGAAGGTAAATAGGAGTTTGCAGTTTATTTTTCTTTAATAACTAAAAATTATTTTAGCCTAAAAACTACATACATTTTATAGGAATAGTACAKAATATATGACTGCTAGTTGCCATGACTGTAGATTACGTTTTACAAGTAGATTTTATGAAAATCATTATTTCCAAAKGTTGCGTTACACTTTGGGCATTTTCGTTGTCTAGTATCGTAACGGGTCTTGAGACATTCGAAGCAGAACACGTGATAGCATTTGGTTAAAATGGCGTCCTTCTTACGAGTGTTGCAGCAAGGGCAGGTCAAACGAGCCTACAGAAAGAAACATTTGTTTATTTTTACTCAACAACGAAAGAGGAAGGATGAAGGGAAGAACAGCAACGGAAAAAAGTAGAGAAAATAACAAAAAAAACGGAGAAAAGGTCATTAAAATGCAAATATCMAATAAAACATGGAAGGGAGAAACAGAAAGAGTGTTCTTTTAAGGCAAAACGTATCCAACAATGCATACCTTGTATTGTCGAACTTCTTCAAGTAAAATTTCATCTGCTGCTCCATAAAGATCGATTTTCTTCTGTTTTTCGAGCTTTCGTTTTAAACTATTACATTCCTCCTACATGGATAAATTCACATAACATTTCATCAAAGAGGAGTTTTTTTGTGAAAGCTGCAGCATCTTTTTCATAAGTACAATAAATAGGTTATGAAATGGTAGATCCTTGTTAAGTTACCTGTACTCTCTTGGCCCTAAAAGCCTCTTCTTCTAGATTTCGTGTCTTGTCAGCCATACTTTGCTGGACCTTAATTGGATCAATATAGACAGTCAAGGATACAACACGAATGACAAATTCAATTACAGCAAACTACCAAGCAGCAGGAATTAAATAAAACAGAATATACTAGTAAGGGGAAAAATCAAGCAAATATTKATATACTAGAAAACATTCAAACATTCAAAGTTAGAAAGGAAATACGAAAGAAAAAAACACGAAAGAAAAAACGAAGACAGAAATACCTCCTGCTGTTGTTGTTGAAAGGCTTCTAGACGAATCTTCAGATCCTGTACCAATTGAACACTTTCTAGAGCCTGGTAGTTTGGAAAATTATCATGTTATGGTTCCAACAGGTAAAACTTTAATACTTATACAGTTTAATACCTTTCGTTTATGCATCTCCATAGCCTGCTGTCGTAGACTCAGTTCTTTTTCCATTGATCCCTGTACAGCAAATGCACAAACTTAGCAACAGAGTAAAGATAGACCTCTGGGCCGGGTTGTTCAAAGCCCGATTAGCGCTAATCCTGGATTAACTCATCTTAGAAAATCTATGGAGTTAACCCTCGATTTTAAACGCTAATAGGGCTTTGAACAACCCGGCCCTRATTCCCAAAACTTCTCTTTATAACAGCTACTTTCGTCTCATCCTCGGAAACCCTGGAGTAGTTCCCGAGGATGCTTTCACGTTTACTTACCAAGGCACTCTGTAAAGCTCTTTCCCTTTCTTCTTGCTTTTTAATAAGTTGGGTCTGTGTTTCACGGTAGGTGTTCAGCGTTGTTACTTGCTCTGCAAGTACGTCTTTTTCTTCGCGTATTTGTTTTTGAATTTGATTACTTTTGATTCGCTGTTGGTATTGAAAAAAGCCTTTCAGTTTATAATGAGTTGGTTATTTACAAGAAGAAGCATACATCTACGTACTGACCTCGGACATTAACTTTAAGTTCGCGTCGTCTTTCTCTCGAAGTTGTTGTAACAATCTCATATTTTGCTCCTGCATTTCCACATATTCTTGTCCAGTGAACTCCATTTCAGCCAGTAGAGCATCTTCCTCTTGTTTAGTTGCAGCTAAATTTTTTTGCAGTTGCACAATAGTTTCCTCCGCCATTTTAAGTCGTCTTATTGCCTCTTCATCAGCCATGGCACCTTTGTATTTCTCTAGTTCTTGCTCGAGMTCTTGAACTCTTTTTTGAAGTTCTTCGATTTCTGCTTTTAGTGTCTTTTCGCTTGCTAGGAGCTGGAAAAACACAATGTAATTAGCATTGTTATCAGAAAAAAGACGATATCGAGGACGATACAAAATGAAGAATACTGAAGAACAAGAAAAAAAGTGAGACGAGAAAATATCATTAACAAGGACGAAGAAACACTSACCTCCACTTTGTCCCTCAAGTCCTTGGCAGCACCTTTATAGACGTCCAATAGCAATTTCATTTCTTTTTGACTTTCTTGAGATTTTCTACAAGAATGAATATTAGACTCATTTATATTTTTTCCAAATTGAGATCGAAGTGCTGAACTTGTTGAAGTTAGATTACTACAGAGTGGTAAGACTGGTAAACTGTCAACTTACTTGAGGCTTGCTTGGAGCTGTTTTAGTCGTTCAGAGTCATTTGATGTACTGGGYTCTTCTTCCTCTTCTCCATCTTCCAGCTCGCCTTCCTCGCCACCCTCAGCTTCTTTTGGAGTTGTTTTGGTCTCTTCTTCTTGTTGGACTTCCATTTCTTCTTGGGGTTTTTGAGCSTCTTGCTCCTTCTTTTCTTGCATCTCTTTCTTTTCATTCTCTCTTATTTTTGCMAGCTCAGCTTCAAGCTTTTAGAAGACAATTCAAAGGAAAAACATTCTATTAGAGTTGCAAAAAATCTTAGAAAACGGAACCAGAATATATTCGACTTATTTTCTTTCTCAATAAACGCACAAGCATTGGCGAAATACTTGGACCATTCAAGCATCAATAATAATAACTGACAAACGCACGTTACCATACTACAAAGCCATCCAAAACAAGAACAGCACTGATAAAAAGTGGGACATGGGGCCCCTTTACAACAAATGGAAGGAAATAATGCACGACGCCTCAGGCAATTTATTCTATGCCTCAACGATTGCAGGCTGAGAATCTTTACAAAGTTTCTTTGGCAAGTACAAGTCTCTTGCCTTCTGACCCACTCATATCACCTTATTTAATWTGACTGCAAAAGAAGAACCGAAATACCTTTTGAGTTTGTGCTTGAGCTTCGCTTAATTTTCTTTTATAACGCATAATTTCACCCTTCARCTGCTTGTTGTAGCTCTAAAATCAGGGAATAGCAGATCACAGTTTATTTTAACCACAAAGCAAAACCAAATTAACAAAAATATTGAGATCAAAATCAAAACATGTACCATATAGATCTCTAAAAATGATACCTGCAAACTGTTGTTCATATAACTGACTTCTTTAATCATTGGTGCTGTAAAAGGTAAYGACATATAACATATCATATAACTATTAAAACGCATACAATTGGTAGCCTGCTCTAAAAAAAAAACACTCTAAAAGAAGTCGTCAAGTCAAACCGTTGTTTGATTGGTGGATCAGTACATACATCGAGAAACAAGTTGAATATCATAATAATAAGCTAATTTGTAAATATATACCCATTATTAATATTTTTTTCAAATTTACAACAGAATCTAACGTATTTTAGTTTTCCAGTTATTTGTTGGGACAACTACTTGAGATTCCCATTRCAAATTATATTATTATTATCATACATCTGATTGTAATCATGCACGGTACAAATAAACGTCTCTGTCCTGTCATGTTCTGTCCTCTTCTAAATAAAAAAAGGAGCTCAAATGCCTTGTAATAGTTACATACTCTAAATCCATTACACAAAGGGTTGGTCCCAATATGTTTAAGTTAGTGTTTGATTCCAYGAAGACTTCAAATCACAATTCATAATATCGAGTTGAAGCATTTCGGTTGAAGCTGTACTTACCAGATTGTTCATTGGACTTGGTGAGCTGTTCATAGTCGATTCTGAGCAAGTCRTATTCCCGCTTACAATGCAGCAAAGAATCATGGAGCTCATTTACTTCGCTTTTGTACTTTTTGTGAGTTGTTGTCATTTCAGACTGTGAGAGTAGAAGAAGTCGATTTGATAAGTTTGGTTTGCAATGAAAGAGTCTCTAGTGCACCAGAAATGACTGACAAGATTGTAAGTTAGTGGTCAAGTTTGTCTTTTACTTCCAACTATGTCACACAGAGTCAAACTTTTCGTAGAATGCACAACACTACTAACACAATATGGTAATTAGTGAGTAAATATTGTTTTTTTTTTCGATTTTACAAAAGAACTGGGATACAAATGATGTCATCATAAGGCTACTACATGTATTCAACAGCTTTAATAGCATACTGATTCAAATATTCATATTGAGACTTAAATATTATATGATTTACCTTTATTGTACTTTAACAGGAAGTTATGTTGCTGACTCGTATTTGCCATTTATTTATATTCATTACATACCTCAATTTGCTCCAACTGAACTATATGTTGTGTCTTTGCAGCACTCAATGACCTCCTTGCATCATCTAATTGTTGTCTATTCTAAAAACAACAAGTTAATGGTCGATGAGTTTGCCCTCTTTAAAAATAATATCCTTGATTTAACGCTTATACAGTATCTACCAAACTATGGTTTATCAAAAATCTAGCATTCTGATTGGTTACCAACTATGGTACATTCATGATATACCATGGTCGCATTTAATGAAGCCAAAATAGTCTAAAAAATGTTGCAAAAAATTCTGTTTGTTATGGTACTAGTAGTCTCCTTCGCAGCCTCCCCTTTTGTAGGGCTTCCTGTCCAGGAAGCCCGACAAAAGGGGAGGCTGCGAAGGAGACTATGGTACTAGTATTTTTCTCAAATTTGCCCTATAAATTGGTGGATCTGGCTCGTGGACTCTCAATGTGTAGTCCATTCAACCTTTCTAATTGTTAAATATATTCAACAATATCTGAAAAACACATTTATAAACTCATCAAAGCCATTTACTTAGTATAAACTTTTGAATGAATTGAATATTTAGTAAGTTCTTTTACAAATGTATAGCAATTTTCACATACTGTTGTAACTTCGTTGAACAATACTGAGAACTGAGACTGTAAGCACTTGTACGGTGAAGACTGGACAATYGTTGACTCTGGAATCTGAATTGCCTGAAATAACAATTGCAAGAAAAATATTATTTCCTTCAGCAATAAAAAGGACACAAAATCCGACACTGATCATCACTACTTTACAACTTTTTACCTCTAGCTTTAATTTTTCMACTTCTTGTTGAGCAGCAACGCATTCCTCTTTGAGTTTCTGAAGTTCCTCTAAACGATTATTAGCYAACTCTTTCACTTCCATGATTTCAGAATGCTTTTCTTCATCATCGTCTTCCTATTGTTTAGAAGTGAAAATATAAATGGCAATAAGTATTTATGTGGCAACAGAAACTTTGCTTGAGTGATAGGTTGCTAAACTTTTGATCCAGAAACAAACCATGGGCTATACAGATGCAAATTAATCTAAGTTATGCTTAATTCAAATCCCTATTGGCCATTTCGACGTTGCRCAGGGGACTGGGCACTAATCAAAGAAATATTGATCTATTCACGAAACAAACCCCACCAGATGAAAGGRCACCCAAAAATTAGTATATATACCAAGTTTCAAAATGTTTGGATAAAAACTAGCTGAACAGTATTTATTYCTAGTTTCATCAAATTAACAGAGAATGTATTGTTTTGGGGGACGCAGTCAAAATCCCCATACATTCTCTGTAAATTGCACGGCTTCTCATTAATTGAATATTTGTCCAAATGATCTGTAACTTGGAACYTACACTAAAGTCGATAAAGTCTTTTTAGTGATATGGTTAGTTTTTCGATTGGCTCAATATGACAGAAATTACAATTCATTTCATAACATAAAAATGGCCAATTGATTGTTTAGGATAAATAAATGGAGAAAACGCAAAGAAACTRAAAAAAAGGATTCACTGCTTGGAAGGAACGTCTTTCTAGATTTGCAATTCATTGCAATTGTTCCAAATGACATTTTGATTGCCTAAATACCTAATGAACAATTAATCAAGATTTGAAGCATTAACTGTCTCATAGCCACATAACATTTTTATAAATCTTAAATACACTAAGGCCTGTTATCATGGCAATGTGCCTACCTGGCCTTCAGAACTGGTTTCTTGTTTTGAAGGAATCTCACCCTCTCTGATCTTCTTTTTCATCTCCTCAAGTTCATGTAATCGTTTAACTAGGTTTTCAACCCTGTGATTTGCTTTCTGTAAATCATACTCTGAATCTTGAAGYTGAGTATTCAGCTCAGAAATCTCTCTCTGAGTTAGAGCATATTTGTCCCTTATTTCTGAAAACTAAATCAAATCCAGATTATTATCAGTAATTTGCATTATAGAAAAAAATAGGAAAAAAATKTACATTAAGAGTAAAATACATATAAGCAAGTGCAATCCAGCTATCGGTACATCACTAAAACAATACACTATAGTGTAACAATGATAATTCCGACTACTGTCAGCTCAAATGACAAAATATTTCAATTGATACTTGGTCATTTACATCTTAAAASTWTTCCATGCTTGGTACAAATCATGTGACAYTGAGTCACAAATTTTCATAAATTTATTTGGCCCAAACTCACTCATTGGTTTATATTTGTCTATACAGTTTATGCTTTGGGATTTCCTGGAACTTGTGATATGATATTAAGAAAGTATTTAAGAATGTAGGAGTAGGATTTGAGATAAGATTTTTAAAAAGAGAACAACTGCAGCCTTCAGATTTGATATGTTTCAGCGATCAATCGCCTTCCTCAGATATTTTAATGGTACATCTATAGGTGTATATAAAACCATTGTCTTAATCAAATATCTTATTAGCCATTCACAACATGGCATGAATTTCAGKGATTACCTCTAATGATGTAGTTTGTTGTTTTTGTTGTAGTGATGTCATAAGTTCTCTTAATCGTCTATTTTCTGCTTTCAATTCTTCTAATTCTGTATCTCTGTCTACTRCCATTGGTTCAAGTACAGGMTCTGGTTTGCTTACAGGTTCAGRAGTAGTATTACATGTTTCTTCTTCAGGCACTAAAGCATGCATCAACAAAAAGATTACAAAAAGAGTACTGGTATTCAATCACTTGAATCTCTAAACAGTTGAATTGTCCCACAGTTTTAATGCCGTTAAAATGTTATGCTGAGCATGCAATGTGCATTATCAAACAAAACTTCTTCAGTATGTTCTTGACATTTTCAGTGACAAGACTKTTTCTTACAATAAACATGCTGTTCATATACCATAAAAGGTAAACCAAATTATGATAGCAAATTGAATAAAAAAATTAACTTTATATTGTACATATTTATATTGTACTCTAATTTTAATGGATACCCTACGACCTGAAATTATTTTTCTTCATAATAGCAAAGATAATAATAATTTTCAATGATGTGTTAAGAGCAGGGATCATACAAGTCTCCATAATAACAAAAGGGAGGGGAGGCGGGGTATATATTTACCGGTACATGTATCTGCAAGATGACTGGACTGTACCCTGTATAGCATACCTTTAGTTTCATCTGTCACACCATCCTTGATTTCATCAACCTCCATCTCGCTTGTTGATGGTTCTTGCTCAACAACAGTTTGYATAGACTTACTGACTACAGTWCGAACTGGTCTTGGTGGAAAACAYCTGGCCTTTTCCATTARGGATAACAGTTTACGAATACATTGTTTAGAATTAGCAGCTCTTTTCCTAACTTCTTCTTTCATTTGCTCTGGACCAAGTTGAGAAAGATGTTCTAAATATGACATAGCGGTATCACTTTGGTCTCCAAACTCTTCTTCAACAATTCCATCRACATAACTCTGGTGCATGATGGTYACATCTTCATCAAGCTGAGTCCAGTGTCTATTGATTACTGAGAGGATCTCAAARTCAGAATCTCTCTTTTGTTTCACATTATCAAATCTTTCTTTTAGTCTCTCTTCRTCTAACTTCAAGATTTCAAGTCTCTCTGCCAGCTTTTTGTTTTGGAAAAGGAGAACCTTTGTATTCATTTCCTCCTAAAGATCAATAACAACAATGTGTATAAGACACATTTTACAGATATAGAGCTTTGTAAATTAATCACATTTAGTGTTTTAAAATTGGTSTATGGGTGCCTTRAATAGCCTGGGCAGTGGGGTATATAATATGCACCGGTTARCATCACATTATAAACTTTGAAATGAAAYAYWCCTTGATTCAAAGGGAATTCCTTTTAAAACACTATTTAACAATTGAATCTGAGACYATGCTCTTACTATACTGACCTCTGTCGARACWGGGCCTATGCTGACAGTCTGAAATATYTTGGTCGTAGCTTGCTTTTTAGCCGGAGCTGAAGTCGAAGGCTCAGGTTGAGACCGCTTCATTGTTATTTCAACCCAATGATTTTACTTCAACGACCAAGGAAGCACAAAAACCAYGGGTTTTGAAGTTCTCTGTACGCCGCCATCTTGGAGGTAAATGAAGCCTCGTTACGATGCAAGAGGCTGAGCCTGCAGTACATGGGAGAAGAAGCACAGGCAGCCCAAAGTAAGTATCTTTTGATAAACTTCCAGAGTTAGGCTTGAAGAAATGCAGCAAAAATTGAAAACTCGAACATTCCGAATCATGGAGCACATGAAATACAGTGTGATTGTTAGGAACACAGAATCAACTTGGAATCCACGAGTTTCCCAAATGGATGGGTTCCCTTTGGTATAAAAACAATAGGGGTAAGAAATCAACATGGTGGATTGCAGTCGGATAAAATGGCTAAATAAATGTTTTTAATCAAATGAGAGTATTTGGTAGAAATATAAAGCACGTAGAGTTTGGCTGGAACTCTTGGCGAGGCAAAAGTTGCTGCATCAGGTAAATTCACTCTGGTTTTGTATTAAATTATAAAACTAAGTTTATTTTATTGATGATACACAAGAATGGCAGGTTCTACAAACATTGCAAAAAAAGCAATCACATTAGAAGACGTGCAAAATGCAGCYAAAAGGATTGGTCCATTCATYAACCATACCCCAGTAATGACAAGCTCCACCCTAAACACTATGGCAGGACGATCACTTTTCTTCAAATGTGAAAATTTCCAAAAAGTTGGAGCTTTCAAGGTAATAAGCAGATTTAAGTTTGCCTTTTGCTTAACTTCCAATAAGGCTTCAGTAGTAGTATTGCTGTCAATGGGTTGGACTCTAAGGTTGTTCTATACATAAGGTCTGAGTTGATTGCTGACAGAGAGCTGATTTAAACCTTGGACTGGGCTGCTATGCTTTAGCTACACTTCTTCCATAAATGGGTCAAAGGTCTCGCAGCTCTAAGTACAAGTCATTGTGATTGGTGGCTAGAACAATAGGCTCTATTGTTTATGCCTCGTTCTTTAAGAGTCACGCTGTGTTGAGCCAACCAACTACCTGCAATGTTCTTTGGCACTGAGACCTGACCCAAATGGGTACCAGAATTATTAAGTGAAAACTGATAATGATGGAGGGAGGGGGAAGGTAATATTGCAATAGACAAATTACCCTATTATTGTGGTGGAGTAAATCACTGRCCTAATGATCTTTCTGGCTCAAATGACCATCAAGCAACAAAACAAAATAAATACTGCAGAGTTTACTGGAGCAATTGTTTAAGTAATGCATAAAAAGCATAAGAAGTTAGTTATTAATAAATTGATTATCTATTTTGATTAGTTTCGTGGTGCCATGAATGCAGTGATGAAACTAACTGAGGACAACCCTGAAGGGGATCTTCCAGCAGTGGTTACTCATAGTAGTGGTAATCATGCACAGGCACTTGCTCTTGCTGCCAAAATAAAGGGCCTTAGGGCCCATATTGTGATGCCTAAYAATGCACCAGCTGTTAAGAAAGCTGCAGTGAAAGACTATGGAGCCAGGATTATAGAATGTGGAATTTCACAGCAAGTAAGTGAAACTGGCTTTGGAATCAAGAATCCAGACAAATTTTGAATCCGGAATCTGTGACAATGGAAGTAGCGGAATCTAGAATCCAAATAGTCGACTTTAGATATTTTGGTTCAGTGACCATGCACAAAAGAATTGCAGACGAGGCTCCGGGCAAATAAAAGAATAAATCAAGATTATCCATTGTTTCCCCGGAGCCTCGTGTGCGTTCTTTTGTACATAGTCATCGAACCAAAATATCTAAAGTTGACTATTACTTTCTTCAAACATTTGCTTTGCATTCTGAATCAAATATGGTGGAATCCAGAAACCTTGAAAAAATTTTCAAGGAATCTGGAATCCAGGAGCTTGGAATCCASATTCCAGAAACACTCTGGATTCTGTGTCATGGGGTGAAATGCAAGGAAAGGATATGAGTATGTGTTTTATTCTATTTGTCATAATTTATAGAACCGTGAAGAAGCAGCAAAAAACACTTTAGAGGAAACTGGACCCAACTCTTGCCTAATCCCCCCTTAYGATCATGTAGATATCATAGCTGGCCAGGGTACCATGGCACTTGAGTTGCTAGAACAGGTGAAGACTGATTATTAATCCTATTATTATTTTACTATAAGAGAAAATGGCTCTTCGGTATTACCTCAAAGTTATGTGTTKGCAGTCCCCTAGTTGTTTGATAAACCAGAGAACTCTGGGTAAACAGTTTTAAAGTCTTCTTTTAAAGTTACTTCAATGAAAGCTTCAAGTTGAATATGTCAGGTTGAAGAACCTCATTGTATCTTGTCTTTCGCAAAAGTTACTTGTAGTAGCCAAATAGCTAATTAAAATTTAATATTGCRTTATAATTGTGATTAGGTACCAGATCTTGATGCCATAGTAGTTCCTGTGGGAGGAGGTGGCATGTTAAGTGGTATATGTGTAGCTGCCAAAGGWTTAAAGCCTGGTATCAAGATCTTTGCAGCAGAACCTTTAGAAGCTAATGACTGTGCTAAATCATTTGCAGCTGGTGAAAGAATTCCTCTTCCAGGTAAGAAAAAAACCACAAGCCTATTCCATATGACCTCTTCAAGAATTTATTTTGCTTTTGAATGCTAAAAGGTTTTGAGTTTTCCAATGTTTGGAACGAGTATAAGCAACATTCCACCACTCATTTAGCTGCATTCATATTAGCCAGTCACCCATAAAACTCATTTTATTCTAGGGCCTCCTGTGACTGTAGCAGATGGCTTGAAAACAAGTCTGGGTTTTCTTACATGGCCTATTATTCGGGACAGTATTGAGGACGTCATTACTGTCACAGAAAATGAAATTATTTCTGCTATGAGGTTGGTCTGGGAACGAATGAAGCTCGTTATTGAGCCGTCAGCTGCTGTTGGGGTGGCAGCGGTATTAAATGAAAAATTTTGCAGTGACAAAACAAATGGTGTAACTAAAGCTGGTATTATCTTGTGTGGTGGTAATGTCAATCTGGATAATTTACCATGGAATACTAAGTAATTACAGCAATAATAAATATTTTATACATTAACAAGGTGTTTGCTGCGTTGTTGTAGAATGAATTGACTTGACTGATTCTCATACACACAATCGTACACCAACGAAGGAAGAAAAATAAAAGGACTCCAGATGACAATCATTCATCATAATCATCATAATTATTTCTCCTTAGTCACCTCGGGCTGCTAATGCACGGAACGCATGTCCAGCACTTGCAAAGCTCTTTTCTTCTCATATGAATATACAAGGAAGAGAAGGCCTGTTGAATGTAGCAAATTATGTACGCATTAGCAATGCGTACATAAGGGTAAAAAACAATAAGGTCGATATGACGCGCTTACATGAAAAAAAGTATAAAAAAGTTGGCGCACATATCGAGAAAAATGAATATATTGACGCACGCATAAAAAATAACGTTTTAAAATGACGTATACACACGAGAAAAAAATATATAAAGTTAATTATTGAGAAAAAATAAAATGACGAACAGATACATAGAAAATAAAGTCAACGACGCAAAACAGAAGCATGCACTGACGCACACAAAGAGAAAAAATAAAGTTAATGACGCACTTAGTAATGAGCAATAAATTAAATGACACACACACTCGAGAAAAATAAACTGAACGACGCACAAAACCGAGAAAAAATACTTTTCCATGCACCCTTGAGGAAAAAACAAAGTTAATGACGCATTTACAGAAAAAAAACGTGGCACAATAACACACATGAGAAAAAAAAACAAAGCATTAGGGCACATGATAAAGATATACCGACGCACACGCAGAAAAAAGGCAATGACGCACAGAGAGGAAAATATGCTACAATGACGCACCCAAATCGAAAAAAAAAAACAATGACGCACCCAAATTAAAAAAAACTTAAAAACTAAACTTTGACGCAGCCTAATAGAAAATAAATGAACACATACAAAAAATAAAAACACTGACACCCAAATTTAAAAAAAAACTACTGACTGACACACCCAAATAAACAAAAAATAATAATAAAAACACTGACGCACACAAATGAAAAAAATAAAAACACTGACGCACACAAATTAAAACATAAAAACAGCTGACGCACACACATACACACAACTGACGCAACCTAATAGAAAAAAATTACAACACCGACAAACACAAATTAAAAAAA